GGTTGAACTAGATGTCCTCTGAAGACCCTTCCAGGTCTCAATCTGCAGTCCTATGTGATCTCTTGTATTGCTGATACCCCTGCAATGACCACGCCTAGCTCTTGCCCCTCTTGGAAACATAAATGGGCAGGCAGGGAAGGTATCATAGGTCAAGGGGAGGAGGCCACATGTGTGTTACAGGATGGGAGGGGGTATGTTGGCAGGAGGCAGGCAGGCTCAGCAGGAGAGGAGAAGAGGTGAGGGTTGCACAGTCTGGCCAATCAGGGTGAGGAGCAGCCCTCCCCACTTCTCCCCCCCCATCCCCAGCTTATTTCTGAGCCGTCTAGTGAGACTCCCCAGAGTAATGGCTGAGTCTGGTTATTTCTAATAGTCACTGATGTAGACCACACTTCAGCTGTGCCAACAGCAGGGTGAGCAAGGAAAGCTATTGACCTGAAGTGTGTTCTCCGCCTCCCCTTGTAGTGATAACAATGCTGCTATTATTATATTTATTTCACATTTGTCTTGTGCTTTTGGTTACATTTGAAGAGCTTTTTTTTTTTCTCAATCCCCAGAAGGGCAGGGCATCCTCCTCATTATACAGATAAGGTAATGGAGGCCAGGAAAGCATGGTTCGCACCAAAGGTCAGTGGGGGAGTCAGTGATGGAGCAGCATCTCCTGACTTGCTCCTTCCATTAAATCAGGCAGCCTCCCTCAAAAGATTTAAATTTGTTTCCCTTTTCCCAACCCAAGCACAGAAAATCTGGGACAAAGTCTCTAAGTTTCCTGGTTCTTGGGTCTAGAATGGAGGCAAGTCTCCAGAATGGACACTGCCTAGGGCAGCTAAGGGGTAGCCCTGATCAGAGTACCAGGGGAGGGTTGCTAAGGATCGTGGTAACAGGAGGTAATCCAGAGCTGTTACTCTGCCAAGCAAGGCTGCAAGATTGGAGATAAAGGGAGTGAATCAGAGAAATCTTCCAAGTCTATTTTCCTTTCTTCTAGGGTGTACTTGCCAATTGCCAAGAGGCAATGCAGCCATGTCTTCTCAATGGGACTCTTGTCCGCGT